TGGGGATTGAAAGATTACATACCATTTCTTACTCCCAACAGGTAAGGCAGGTTGTTTTCCTTCAAAGCCAAATTCAGTTCAGCCGGACTTCAAAATAATAAGCAAATACATTTTACTACATTGTTGAAAATGTATTGTTGTTTCATTATTGTGTTGTTTTTAGTCATTTAAGTGAAACCTGATATTACCTTTGTACAACCTCCTGTAGCCTCACTCCAAGTTTTATTGGCATAGTTTTCCTAAACTCTGGAGAGAAAAAAAAAAGGAAAATTTCTTAATTTTGAATGCTCAGACTTATCATATTGACATTTATTGCGTATCATCGCTGAAACTACTTTTTTACTTTAAGACAAAACAGCTTACATTTAGGCATAATTAAATAATGCATGATGACTTCAATAGAATGCTGAATGTTTTCACATAGTAGCAGGAAATTATGTAACTGTTATATAGTGTAACAGGACTGGGCAGATAAAGAGAAAAGTGGTAGTGCAGCAATCACGACAGAGGCAGTGTTCAAATAAAAAAAAGGCTTTATTGCTATTAAACTCAAAAATACCTTCCCTTTAACAAAGGCTAACGTAGCCGGGCCGCTAACCGACTTACCAGCTTACCAAAATGTTTCCTCACGCTGGGAGCCTCCTGCTCCCTCCATGTGCCACACACAACTGAGCAACTCTGTGTGCTTTGTCTCCCTTGAGGGAGTGATTAGCACCAGGTGTGGAGCCACCTGTTGGGAATGTAGGTGCCTCCTACTACCCTGCCTCTCAGCCCCTTACAATAGTTATAACATAATAGGTTTATAAGTTATTTCAAAAGGAAAAAAGACAATAAAATGATTAGTATTAATGTTATCTAAATTGTATACATAATACATAAAATAGTCAATCAAATGTCAGCAAACTCATTATTATTATTACCCAGAAGAACTGGTTCTCTCTGATTGGCCTCCAGTGGACACAGGATCTGTTTGTCTCGAAGGTACTGCTGCAGCACGATTGAAAGCCTCGCCTCGTTAAAGGTATCCATGACAACCGCTCGCACAGCCTTGTAGTTGGCGAAGAGATGGAGAATGGTGAAGAAGAAGAAGAGGCTGAGAGTCAGTCTGAGGGGGAGAAAGAAGTAAAATATGATTCACTGTATAATAATATTATGGTAATTATTAATCTATAACAACACTTACATTGGATTATCAGTGACAAGGGGAATGAGGATTAAACTGATCAGAAGTCCAGCCAGATTCACTAAAGTCTCCTGTGAGGAATTAAAGACATGATGACAAGAATTACATTCCTTCTTTGCAACCACATCAGAAATGTGAGAAAGTAGTTGTTATGAAATTAAACTGTTTAGATATGTTACAGTAGAACATGCATATCTGTAAATAACAAAATCCATTCTGGAATAAATCTATTGAGGTTCATAATCAAGGGCCTGGTATTGTACATGATGGATCATTGTCACTAAATCCCAATGTTATTCTTCACAAGTAATTAAGCTGTTCCCCCTTATCTACAATAAACAGTCTGACAAAATAAGTAGTATAAGTTGAATACCTGACTGCCATCTTTGGCGGAGATGTCAGCCATGTTGTCTCTGCGAGCCTGGTGAACCGTCAGAGCAGCTCTGGTCGCACCGCCTGCCACTCCAACAAGAGACTGGAGAAGATTAAAAAAAGTCAGCTTGAAACAAATAACAATTTACTCTAAGGAAGTTGTATCTTGCGCAGGAGTCTTGTATCAGTTTGGGAACCACTAGTTAAAGCTTATTTGTCAGGACTCTGTTTCTTTATGACTGGTATTTGTGAATTTAGAAGTGTATAAATAGTCGGTATTTGGATGATCGTTCTTGATATTGTGAAATCAAACATCATCTTCGAAACAAAGCTCAAGGTTCACTTATTTAGAAAAGTATTTATCTTAGAGAAGAAAACGGTGACTCCAAGTTTTAAACTGTAATCACACCTGGCTAAAGTTATTTAAAAGGTGTCCTTTTACCTTGAATACCCCTGCAGTACACACAATCAGGGTAAAGCCAGCAGGAAAGTATGGAGCCGATATTTCCATGAACATGGCAATGTCATTGAGAACATCAGCAAAAAGTCTGGTAAGAATTTAAAAGAAAAAGTTAATGTTAATGAGCAGACCGTAGACTGTTAATTGTCTTAATTGAGCGCCTCTTCACCATGCATACCTCCATTTTTTGGCCTCAGAGTCTAATTTACTCCTGGAATAAAGACAAAAAAACTGATCATAAAGTGAAATTGACATCAGTGAAAAAGGGGCACAAATATAATATAAAATATGAGCCTACCCTTTCTGCCAAGCGAAGAAGATTCTTCCCAACATGCCAGTTCCATCTGCAGGAGAAACATTCGTTCAAAAGTTGCACTCCCAATGCAAGAGAAATGTACAATAATGGTATATTTCAAGGTGTCACCTCTTAGTAGCCAGGTCACTGTGGCTGCTGCCACTGTTGCCTCTTGGTTTCCAACACCCACACCTTTGAGAGAAGCTTGAGTGGCCAGAGTCCCTGACAGAGAGCTGCAGAAAGCCTGAGAGAGAGAGAGAGAGAGAGAGAGAGAGAGAGAGAGAGAGAGAGAGAGAGAGAGAGAGAGAGAGAGAGAGAGAGAGAGAGAGAGAGAGAGAGAGAGAGAGAGAGAGAGAGAGAGAGAGAGAGAGAGAGAGACGGGAGTTTTCATCTGATGAAGAAGGTGATGATCTTAAGAGTTTTGGTGAACTATTTACTGTACCTGCACAGTATCCCAAAACTGGTAGTGCACGTAATCCTCACTGACGCTTTCTGGATAGCCTTGAGGCAGAAAGACACTCTGAAATAAGAAGTTAAAATGTGTGTCTCAGGGGGGAGGGTTGGATCTTGGATTTTGAATATATTTTCCAGTCCAGATTTTACATCTCATATTTTATTTTATTGGACATAGAAGGCATATAAATCCTTACTTTGAAACTTCGAACAATGATGTTTCCTCTTGATTCCCCTTCCCTCTCGTCTCTTCTCCTCTCTAACACTGCATCGCCTGCACAATACTTCCAGGACTCGGAGCTGCCATATCGCTCTGTGGCCAGAACCACACATCTGTCTGTCTCCATTTAGCCTGTGAGGATCAAGAGACACGCGGGCTGACTAAACTAAAAGCAGAATTATACTACAGTGTGAAATCTGCTGGAATGTATTTACTTTTAGCCCATTTATGTTAGTACAGCATGAAACTCGACACAATATACGTGTCGTGTTTATCTATGAAGCGCTTCCGTGTTTATTTCCGCGTTCACAGGTTGGAGATTGCTGATTGGTCAATTGGGAGTCAAAGGCGGAGTTTATGGAAACGGTCCAATAATTAATAAGGGTTGAAAACTCCTGATTTGAAAATACTAAATAGAAGTCACTGTGGCATTTAAAAAAATAAAAAAATAAAGAACTACAATTTAAAAAAGAACACTTTTTTAAATGTATTCAATACTTTGTTTTGCAATAAAAAACTAGTCCATCTTGAATTATTTGTATGAATGCCGACAAAGTAAATTCTTTTTGATCAGATACAGATTAAGTGTTGACTATTTTTACAATAAAATTATATTGAAAGTGTGGGGGAAACTTCTGAAGCAATTGGAGTCAGGACTCAGAGAGAAACGAGGAGAGCTGGAGCTTAGATGGCAAACACTGGCGGTTTATTTGGAGCTTCGGCCGGAGAATTCACAAGACATGTCATGAGCCACGAGTTGACACAGGTTGAGATGCCAAATCAATTCTGAAGATCTCTAACCCAGACCCATGTATTTAGCTAGTCCTGAGGGAATAATCAACATTGTGCACAACAAGATAGAAGCATAACACCTCTATCAGCTGACGCCAACAGGCAGGAACAGGGAGACAAAACACTGAGAGCACAGCAGTCAAGGTTACAGGTGCGTGTGCTCAGTCAGGACAGTCTAAAACTGATAAACTGGATCAAAGTTATGGGCCTAGGAAAATATTTCCCCAACAGAAAGTAAAACACAGTTCATTTTAAACCTCATAATTTGAAATCTTGTTTGCATCTATTTTGGTCATTTTGAATCTCTGTGATCTTTTGAATCTGTTTTAAATCATTTTTGCTTGTCTTTGTGGTCATTTTACATCCACTTAGCCAATTTTGGGTTGTTTCTAGTTGTTTTGTGAATATTTAGTATTTTTTTTTTCGGCCTGGTTTTGTAAGTAAGGACCCCTGACCTACTGGGCCCCTGGGCCGGTGCCCAGTCGGCCCATTAACCTTTGATTTATGTTTCTTTTTTCATACCACTAATTCTGATGTGAGAAAAAGCCTGGTTTGTTGTTGCTATACTTAGAGACATCCAAGCATTGATTATAACTAGTTTCAACTTCACTGACGTTTCTTATGTATCCAGAGTTTGAAAAGCAGATTCACAACTATCATTTTAACATGTGGCTCCATTGGCGTCACTTCCCATTGTTGTGCTGTCTGGTAACAGGGAGGAATTCATCGGACATGATGATTAATACTTAGTATATGATGCAGTCAACACGTCTGAGCCACAACAATTGGATGAGGTGACACATCATATTCCTCCCATACTACTTTATGTTCTCGGTGAGGAAAGATTTGGCGGTCTGATAGGGTGTACAGAGGGTGGTATCAGCTGTGGAAAAATGCAGTCAGGAATTCGTCTATCGTTGAGCAAAGTGGAAGTAAATATTTCTTATCTCTGGGTCATAAAGCAGATAGAGGCATGCGAAAAAATATATTATGGGCAAGAAGAAACCTCTTCGACCAAAGCAAAGAGTATATGTTTCAAGTTGAGATAAGGTGTTGTTCAAAGTCACAATGTCCGATACTCTTCCAAGATAATCTTAGAAAAACAATGAGGCAGGTTGGAATCTGTGGCTGTTTCACCCTCAGGCAAGGCAAGTGCTGACACACCTTTCCCAAGACCTCTGGTATGCGACATGGGAAAGAAGTGGGGGGACTGTGCTGTGACTAAGAAAGAGAGAGGAAGCCTAACCTTCGATGACAGATAACAGTATATGAGGACTAATGTAACTGGATGATCGAAGGGTTGACAGCCGATGTGTGGCAAGAAAGAGAAAAAGGGAAGTGCCTCCACAGTAAATGGGCGTGGAAGTTTCACACAAGAGTTTCGCTCCCAGCTCTCTCTCAACAACTTATATGGCACAGGGCTTTCACAGGGACGGGCCTTCAAGCTGTTTGTTTTTTGAATTCCCACTACATTAACAGTTATTGTGTTTGGATGACCACACGTGGAAATCTTAACCCATCCGTTCATATATAAAGGAAGAAAGACACTTCATTTGGCAGCTGTCACCTTAAACTGGAATACTGTTAAAAGCAAAAGAAGACAAAACACCTGCCTGCTACTTCATTAAGATTTTCATATACATCTGGATACACAGGACAGACTGAGGAGCATTGCATTTTAGATTGAATCAGGTATGTACTCTAACGTAACAATTTATTCATTGAGTTATTGAAATTTAGATCTGTTTTACAAGAAAGACCTGAGTGAATTAGGTTTGATTGTGTTTAACAATGTATTCCTGTGTGTCTTTTCTTTTCACTATACTCAAGAAACACCTGCAAGATTTGGTTTTACATAATATAAATCTTTATCTTTCTCACTAACGTTTCGTAATCAGCACTGACAGGAAATATTACGTTTCTCATTACAAATGATTCACAGGCGTGTGCATCATTACATGAGAGAACTATTATTAACCCAGTCCAACTCTCTGCTACTGCATTCTTCGTACATGACAAACACGCAGAGTGTGCTGGTACTCTGTGCACCACGCTTTGATCAAATCTTAGATTAGATAACCTACATTTTATGCTCCCATGAAAACTTGCCAAGCAGGTTTATTTATTTTCCTAAAGTGTGATCATACAAGTTTTTTTGTTGATAAAAAGGAACACTGTGCCCCATGTTGAACCATTCAAAGGATACCTTTGGTTTCATGTTGGAAATAACCTGCTATGGGGAAACCTATGCTCAACAAAAAACAAACTTTGTGAATATGCATGTTTAGACTTGTAGGCACCAGTTATTTTTAAATTCTTTAAACTTCTGGTATTGTGATTCAGAGTAGTCTAGCCCAAACTGCTCACGCATCAAACAAGGTGAACACAGGACACAAAGGCAACTTAGGAAAACATTCTTTTAGCAATAATCAACCCAGCAGCTTGGCCATCAGTTAAGGAAAGCAGCAATATTTCTCTCAAGGAGATCATGTTCAAACCCTTTGAAACAACTGATGTTCCCTTGGGCCAGGCTGAATAATACCTGAACTGATTGTGGCTTTGTTATCATTGTTTGTCCAAAAAACATACCAGGTTTAAGAGGAGGTTGATCTAAAAAGTCAACTTCAAAGTACATACAAAAACACATAAGAAAACATTAAAGCTCTACCATCAGGTAAAACCCAACAAATTAGTATAAATACGAAGGAAAAAATCAATAGGAAAAGCATTTACTTCCTGTTGTTTCTCTGTGTCTTTACTTCAAGTGCAACATAAGACAAAAGGGAAACATATTTTGATATTTATACATACAGTAGATAGACATAGATATCGACACTACCAAATGAGTTCAATTCAACAAAAATAAAGAATATGTTTGTGAAGTTGACCATGTTCAAAATTGAACAATAACTTACCTAGAATCCCTTTGTTATTTTTATCTCCAGTCAGTGAGTCTAATTATTAAGGGATATTTAAAATGTACGTACATTTGATCAAATCTATCATTCTCTTTAAAGGTGTTTTACTTATCATGTGCAGACTTACAAAAATAAGGCTGAATGCAGGCAGTGTTCGGCACTGTTTTTCAAGTTTAATAATGAAGGGAGTAGCCATCATTGTGCCTTTGAAGTCAGTAGAAAAGTGATTAGGTTCAGATTGGAAACAGGATCATAAATTAAACATACAAGGTTGAATACAATATGTGCACTCAGTGGAATTATGTCCCATTGTATCCGACCAACATTCCTAAAAGAAAAAGTTAAAATATAAGCATTTACCTGGCTGTGCTTGCCATTAGACAACAGTGACATCAGTTCCTTGCATGTCCTTTTATCTTTAAAACAAACAATGTTTTTTTGCAACTCTTAACAAACTTAAAAGCATAAATCCACCACTTAGACAAATCCTAAAATGGTTCTTTCTTTTCAGATGTCATTTGCATATTGCTTCCTCAAAACGTTTTCTTTTGTTTTAGTAATTATTAATTGACCCTTTCTTATATGCTCTGTAGTTTGCAGAAATGCCCAAATCTCAGGAGACGAGTGAAATTAAAATGGAAGAAGTCCCGCTGAACACCATTCCAGGGACTGGGGGCACTACAGTGATCAGCATCTCTGAGCGGTGTGCCGCCGCCTCCTGCTGCGAGGACAGGAACCACAGGATACTCGCCATTTGCAGCATCATCTGTGGACTCTCCTGCATCGGAATCCCGGCTCTGATCAATTCAGTCAAGGTATTACAATGTCATTTCACATTGCTGCTGAATGCTCTAATCAGCAGTGTAGAGGAAACTTCTGTGTAGCTATGCAGTGGGAGTCACCGACTCAGGAAGGAGACACGGTAGGAGCAGTAGCTTTGATGTCAAACACTGATGGTTTATTTGGAGTTAACGGCCGGAGGATTCACATCACAAGTCCAAGAGTCAGAGGTTCTGACTTCACGGTAGAGTTGCCACGTCAATTCTGAAGAACTCTACCCCAGACCCATGTATTTAGCTAGTTCAGAGAGCATCATCAACATGCTGCATAACAAGATAGAATCATAACACCTCTATCAGCTGACGCCAACAGGCAGGAACAGGGAGACAAAACACTGAGAGCACAGCAGCCAAGGTTACAGGTGCCTGTGCTCAGTCAGGACAGTTTTAACTGATAAACTGGGTCAAAGTTATGGGCCTTGGAAAATATTCCACAACAAGCAGGATTTTAAATTCTATCACAAACTAACTAACCTAATTAAAATGTGAAAGCCACCTTTGTGACGGAGGAAAGGTGACCTCTTGAAGACTTTTCTACCCACTGGGTTTAAAGTGCACCTATCATGCTATTTTTAGGCAATAGCATAGGTCTCAGATATATAAAAAACATGTCTATGAAGTGTTTTGCTCAAAATACCAAACAGATCACCCATTTTAGCCATGCCTCATATCCAGGGGTGCACATAACTGGTACGCAGGCACGGCAACAATCTGAAATGCGTACCGTCACTTGTGTCACAAAGCGCATTTGCGTACCGACCCTATGGTACCGACGTACTTGTGGAGCTTTTCCAGAAGGCGGTTAGATCACCGGACAACAGAGTCGGTCTCCGTGTGCACAGACAGGGCTGCTGTTAACGTCGGCCTGTACCTTTCTCAGAGTACCTCACTGAGAAAGTTATGTGCACCCCTGCTCATATCCCTCTATTTCACTTCCTGTTTAAAAAGTGCTGATTTTGAATATAAAGCTTTTTTTTTTTTAAAGAAAAATTGATAAAAACTTTCCGATAGTGCCGTTGGTCCACATTTCCGATATTACTTCATATCGGACGCAAATCTGGATTAGCTCCATTGTACCCCCATTTTTAGAGATTTGGGTATGGAGGAAAAGAGAGGGTTTTATTTGCTGACGCTGCGTGAGTTCCCTGACACACATATTCATGTATAAAAGACATAAAAACGTGCATTTTGCATGATAGGTCCCTTTAAGTTAAGATCAGGAGGTCAGAAAGAAATTTCAAATTGTTTTAAATTACTTTTTAACACAAACAGCTGTGAGGTTGAATATTGTCTTTTTAAATCCAAAAACTACACTAACTTAAAAACTAGATAATGCATATTACATCTGAGTCCATATTTTACATCTCAGTTTGGCTAGCAGATAACAGAAAAACTACTGGCTAGATTTTCAAGTAACTTGGTGGAAGATCCATTTACATTTTGGATTAGGACTCGAATCACAGAGCAGATACATTAACATTGGTAGATACGATATTTAGCCTTGTGCACCCCTAGTTTTCTTTTACTGTTTTCTGATATAACACTACATTCAATGTAATTGTCCTTACGTCAACAGGCTGAGAATACTACAGGTCAAGAGAGAAAGAATTTCTTAAAACGGGCAAGGAAATGTGGCATCATCTCCATCGTGGTATGGTTTGCCATTCTGGTTTCAATTCCCATCCTGATGGCCTTCATCTCATACATCATCACGCTGAAAGAATGACAAACTCTGATAAACCTCTACTGAAGACAACCATAAGAGTGACTTTGGATGTTGATGTTGACAGTGGACAGTACAAACATCATCCATGAAGCTATGAGGAAACTGGTTACACAAAAAGGCAGCTTTAGTGTTTCTTGTGCCGACGAAGTGTCCCAGTTTACACTTTTTTTTTTAATAATATTTTTTACACAACACTTAAAAACAGTACCAAAAGCTTTACAACTTTTACATACTGTAATATTTATTTAACAATGAGAACATTTGGAAAATTCTAATCTAAATGCCCATATAAAATTCACTTTGAGACATGGCACTATGACAAATTATATATTAAAGATTAGAAAATGTCATTCCCCAGTAATGACCCAACCCTTATATATTTGCACCTTAAATGCCATTACAATAACATCATTCTTAGATACCGTATATACTCCAGAAGTTAATACATTACTTAAATCTGTGAATCTAAAAAGGTGGAGAACGGACTCGTTCATCAAGGATGGGGTCCTTGCAGAAAATAAAATGGCAGCGCTACATCAGAACAAGACCCTGCGCTTGTTGCCAGCATTATCTTCTTGTTACCGTAATACTTTTATTAATGTCAAATGTATCAATATGTTGTACTTTTATACATGTATATAAAAAGAAATATTTCGTAATAAAAACCTTTGTGCTAAGAGTTGCTTGAAATTTCCTCATTTAAATGACGATAACAAATACACCTACAAAACACCTATATAAAAAGAGAACGTCTTACAGTTAAGGCAGCCACAAGAAAATACACAAAGATAAAGAAGTTACTTTTCCAATACACATTGACACCATAAATCAATCCAGAGAGAACAGGACGTAATAAAGCCAGCAGTGGAATTTCAACACCGCCACTGTTGATTAAAAGTGCTCTCTAAAAGGACGCTATATTTTAGACAAGAAAAACCCTGTTCTGCCATGAATGTACAAACACAATTGATAAATATTGCTAAGAACATTACAAAGTAGAATGATTAACACATGTCGCCTGCAGACAGACATGACTACACACTGGTTGTGAGATTGGCTACAGCCAATACAAATCTCTTGCTGGCATGTTTTAAAGTTACATTCAGCATCAATAAAGAATAGCTGCCTTTATGGCTACACTTGCAATAATGCTTAAAGTCATGTAAGCAGTACCAATATGTTGTTACAATGCTTTTCTCTCAAACACAACAATGCAAAATAAATCAGATGCATACTGCATTTGCATTTTTAGAAAAGAAAACGGGCAGTGTAACAAAACGGCATGATGACTTACCCAGGGAGGTTGTACAGGTTTGCAACTTTGGGTCTGAAAGAAAAAGTAGGTTATATTGAAAACGGTATTATATCGTATAAGTGTTTAATTTAAGGCTGGCAACATTTGTGTATGGACAGTTTCACTCGTCACAGATGGAAAGCTGTCGGGGGAAAATGGACGGCCAAGGTTTAAGTGCATTAATGACAAAAATGCCATGTACAATGCGATTACCACCATGTTTATAACCAACTTCTATGAGGCAACACATTTCTGGTGCTATGATGTATTGTTCTTCTCACAGGGCTACATATATATTACAGAACATTATTCTTTAAACAATTACTTCACAACAACAATCATATGTGCTGGCAACAACAGAACAATTCACATGTGAATCTTCATGTTGGAAATGCATTCGGAATATTCGTATTAACAGAATGATCTCTCGCGGTGATTTAGCCTTTTCAGAGGCAGCTGTCAACTGTCGTTGTGATCATGGATCAACCACAGGTTCAGCTGATGGAGCTTGGCACAGAGGAGGGAGTCTGAGTCCTGCACGCTGAGGGGCGGCTCGTCTCTAGCAAAGGACCCTCGCCTCTTCCTGGAAGATGAATTTCCTGACTTTCCGACACCAACAAGGGGCTTCTTCGGTCTTCGGACCTCGCCGGCATCCAAGAATTCCATAAAACGTTTGACTCGCCTCTGGCCGAACCAGGACTCTGAGCCATTTTTGCGATTGAGAGGCACTTCGAGAATGGTCTCCAGCCGGCTAAAAACAGAGTTAGAAAGTCTTATTAAATGTATGTATAACACATGTAGAAATGTTGACAATAAAGCTGACTTTGAATAAGTGAGTTGAGGAAGTTAAGGGAATGTAACAAGTTGTTAAGGAGTAGTTATTGCGTTTCACATAACTGGGAACTGATTTGAGTGAAGAATGATTCCTCTGGTGCCACCCTGTGGTCAAACCTTGCCTTACTAGCTGTGTACACATCCACTATGCATACTAACAGGTTTTGGGTGTGTTCACAGGGAAAGGTGACAAAATAAAGTACACTTAAACCATTCCTATAATTCAATGTGGACAAGGTCCTGCTGACAGCTGCTTTTGAAGGTTTGGAAAATGCCGAGTTATCTTTAAAAAAGGTAAAGATTATTCCTGATTTGAACTATACTTGATTTTAAATTTGAACATAATCTGTTGATAAATCTAAACAATACAGCTTTATTTATAAAGCACTTTAAAACCTCCAGACCAAAGTGCTGTACAGTCAAATAAACAAAACATACAAAAACAACACAGCACAGCTCACACACAAGTAAAAACAATAGACAATTTAAAAGCAATAATCTAAAAGATGTCAATACGCTAAGGAAAAGAGGTGGGTTTTAAGAAGCGCTTTAAAAGCAGACCGTGTGGCGGCCTGCCTGATATGGATGGGATTAGTTTTGTATCATAAAGATAAAGCAACACTTTCTCAGAATAAAGCAAAACTATGAGTTTAAAAGAAAGAAAAACTGAGTCAAGCAAAATAAAATAAATTTCAAAAATAAAACTAGAAGTTGCAAACAAATCATTTGTGTAATCATGTAAACTATAAGTCTTTTTTGTTTTAACATAGGTATGCAGAGGCAATCCTAATAACCAAAGGTCTTCTTATATTTGATATGAAACAAACCCTTTAAATATGTTTTGAGTGGCGCTGAGCAATAGAAGTTTAAATATGAAGACATTTTCTAATAATACATATACAAGTGTTCACAGCAATGCTTCAACTAAGCCCTTCATACATTTGCATCTTGAAGACTAAAAAAAAAGTTTAAAATTACATTGTGTGTGTGTGTATGTATATATATATGAATCATTTAACGTGCGATTACAGTCGGTGCTGTAACTGATCTTACCCGTCAGGAGGTTTGCTGAAATTCTTATTGGTGTAAATTTCTTCCAAACTAAACTCCTTCTTTTTCAGCCTGTGATGTGACAAAGAAGAAGAACAACAAACATAGCAATCAGTCTGAATATTGATCAAAGTGTTCAATAAACAACAGACATGTATTGACATAAATTAACTTTCAATGGCATAGCAGCGTGACCTCATAGTATTTGACCTACTTTCAAACGCTCACCCAATGTAAAGGCAGAGTGACTTTACATTGACTTTTTAAAGCTGGTTGTACAAAACCCGATGAAATAGCACCAATGACAGGCGAGTCAGCTCCATTTGCTGATGAAGGCAGTGAGATGCCTTTTAAATACCAACATCAGTGAGTCTGTAAACATTGTGTGGGGTTTAGGGTCATTTGTACCACATACCGAGGTCTAGAGTAGGGCTGCTCGATTATGGCAAAAATCATAATCTCGATTATTTGGGTCAATAATTGATATCACGATTATTAAAAACGATTATCCATTTACCGTAATTTTGGGACTATAAGGCGCACCTGAATATAAGCCGCAGCAGCTAAATTGAATGATGTCTACATATATAAGCCGCACTGGACGATAAGCCGCAGGTGTTTTAATGACCATATGTAAGGGTTCGTGCACAGAGGGGATTGTCGGGAAAGAGATGGCTGTTTGAGGAAGCTCCCATTTATTAACATTTCAACAAACAAGTTGCATATTTGCATAACGCATTCAAGTGTTACCATTTAGTGCAATAGTAGCTACAGAACATGTACTGTGCTGTGTAAACTGTACTGTATCACATAGCGTTTCAGACACAAACTTTTCCATTTTCAAACTTAAACGGTGCGCTCCCAGCGCACGAACCGGCAGTGATCTACAGCAGTGGTTTTCAACCAGTGGTACGGGGACCACCAGTGGTCCTTGAGGGAGTGCTAGGGGTTCCCCAGCAAAATTAGTTAATAGCGTCACAATCATTTAACCACTTAGCTTTGGCTATTTTTTAAAAACCTTGAAAAAGTGTGCACATCTTTGAATATTTATATTTTCTAAAGCGAAAATTAACTGATATCTTTGCTTCTGGGGGTCCCTGGCACAAAATATTTTCAATTGGGGGTCCGCGGCCAAATGTGTATCAATTTAGGAGTCCTTGGCATGAAAAAGGTTGAAAACCACTGATCTACATTATAGCCTACAGTAGTACCATAACAAAAAACAAAGCTTACAGCGCTTGACGAGGCAATATCAATGGCTAAATTAAATGTGTTTTTTTAAAAGTGCAAAATAAAGTGCCTGTAACACGACAGTAAGCGCGTAAGCCTAAAGTTGCAGTAACACGGCTGCTTAAAATATACGGTAATCAGCCTACCAGAAAAGTCATTACTCCTCGTCTTCATCTTTTAGGCTAAGGTGCAGTACACGATTGTAACCAGAAAAGTAAAGTCATTAATCCTCATCTTCGTCTTCTTCCTGCGTACTAAAACCACCAAAGTCCTCATCTTCAGTGTCGGAAACGAACAGGCTCAGGGTGGCTTTGTCAGCCACTCTCCTCTCTCCTTCGTTGTCGCTCTCAAAACCAACGAAATCCTCTTCGTCACTGTCGGAATCGAACAGCCTCTGAAGGGCCTCAGCTGTGGCGGCGTCCTCCTCTTCATCACGCAGCAGTCCAGCCTTTCGGAACCCGTTGGTGATCGTGGATGTTTTGACACTCCTCCACGCTGTCAGGATCCACTCGCAAACTTGAGCGAAAGTTGCTTTTCGCATGCGACCAGTTTTGGTGAATGATTTATCGCCGCTAGTCATCCACGCCTCCCACTGAACGCGTAGTGCCACTTTGAACGCACGATTGACACTGATGTCGAGTGGCTGCAGATGCTTCGTTGTGCCCCCAGGAATCACAGCTGGAATTGAGTTTGTGCTCTTGATGGCTGCTTTCACAGAATCTGTTATATGGGCCCTCATGCTGTCCAAAACGAGCAAAGCTTTTTTTTGGCGAAAGAATCCTCCAGGGCGCTTGACGTAGCACTCATTCAGCCACTCCTTCATTACGCTTTCCATCATCCACCCTTTCTTGTTGACTTTAAAGCAGATGCCGTTCGGGATCTTTTCTTTTGGCATTGTAATCCGCTTAAAAATCACCATTGGCGGAAGCTTTAATCCAGATGCTGTGCAGCCAAGAACACAAGTGAAATTCGTTCTCTCGTGGCCAGTGGTTCTCAACGTGATGGACGATTCACCTTTCTTGTTAACAGTCCTAGTGAGAGGCAGGTCAAACGTCAAAGGCACTTCATCCATATTTATGATCTGGTCCGGTCCGATGGAATATTTCTATCTTTCTTTGTGTGAATTCGGTGGCGACTGTTTTGGCCTTCAGTCGGATCTGCACGGTGGAAACACCTCGGCCGTCTGCTCTCTGTGTGTTCACCCAATCTTCAAGAAAGTCTTCAAGTTCGGGCCATCTGCTTTTATTACCTCGGAAAGCTTTTTTTGACTTTTTGCATTGAGACAGTTCTTCTCCAACGTCTCACCATTGACTCATTGATGCCAAGGGTATGTGCAGCAGCTCTATTTCCTTCTTTTACTGCCAGATTGACTGCCTTTAACTTAAAAGCTGCATCATATGCATTTCTACGTTTGTTTTCCATAATGAGGGTTTGTGCATGAAAACTTCCTTTGCACAAACTGTCTCGCTCTCGTAATGTCTGTCTGTCTTGCTCTCGTTCTGTCTCTCGTACCACTCTCGGTTCCACTTTTACTTTTGCGCGCTACCTGTCTCACTCTTTTCCGGCCTCCAGCTTTTCCTGCTGGAGCCCGCCGCTTAAAGGTGGGGGCGCGGACCGGCCATAGAGCCCATAGAGTTAAAGGTGGTGGACTGTAACCTGTAAAATCCATAGATTTAGGAGGTCCCCTAGTGGCCGTTAGCTGTAAAAATCCATAGATTAGCCGCACCGTTATATAAGCCGCAGGGTCGAAAAATGGGAAAAAAGGCGCGGCTTATTGTCCGAAAATTACGGTACTTTGAAAACATCAATTTATTTGAGAAAAAATGTGAACTGTATGTGTTTAACAGTTGATTACCCTGAACTTTAAGTATAATTAAACTGAAAAACAAAAAAAATAATTAAAATAAAATAATAATCGTTTTATTTCGCTTATGTTGTTTTTGTAATCGTTGCAAGCCATAATCGTAATTGCGATTAAAATACGATTAATTGAGCAACCCTAGTCTAGAGTAAACTTCCATGTGTGAGTATTTACCTGATGGCTTTGGGCAGGCCCATTGGGGTCAGGTTGTTCTGAGGTTTGGGTAAAGTTTTCCGAATTCTAATAGACGACACCTTCCCTCGCTCCTCACGTTTTTGCACCACCTGCGAACATGAACAAGGGGATTAGTTAACTGAATCTAAATCGGTTTTTATACTTTTAGTTAAAGATGTCACTACACGCATGTTAAATAATGTATACCTTGATTTCAGAATCTGAAAAGGCCTTTTCTTCTCTCAACCCTATATCTTCAAACTCCTGACTGGATGAGCTCGTGTCCTCGCCGTCATCCTCCTCCTTACTCTGTCGTCTTCTCTCAATGTCACATTTCCCACTGCGAAAAAGACGATGGTAAATACCAGCCAACAGTGAAAACACTCTTCAGAACCATTGATATAAGTACTAATACCACACTGTGAAGACGCTCCATTAAAAGTCAGAGCTCTCCATTCAAAACCTTACTTCGGTAAAAGTATTTATATTTTTTAATCAGCAAGGTGTACTTGAAGTATCAAAAGTAAAAGTACTCATTGTGCAGCAATTAATATCAAAACATTTGAGTATCATTGGCATCATCAAGTGAAAAAACATATTACCTGCTGCTAAAGTCCAACGGAGCTCTCAAGTCGTCGATTTTTTGGATGGATATGAATGGGTATAAAGGAAAAGAGGAGGTGGGGGAGGAAACAGACGTGCTGGGGCTGACTGCAGCTGCTCTACTGTCAACTTTCTTGGAAAGGAAAGCCAAGGGGCTTGAGAGGAAACAGGAAGCAAGAGCTGAGAGGGAGGAGCTGGGAGAAAGTGCAAAACTGGGAGACAGGAGAGACAGGAGAGATCTTCTGGACGGGTACACCTCCTTACGCAGGCAGAGGGGGGCGATCTCCCTCTCCACCTCCTTACGCAGGCAGAGGGGGGCGATCTCCCTCTCCACCTCCACGCTGCAGACCGTGTGTCGACGAGCCCGCCGCAGGGCTTTCTGGAAATCAAGGACAGAAGGAGTGTGGGGGGCTAGGGGCAGGTGTGGGGAGCGGATCCTGCTGAGCTCCGGGGAGTGCAGAGTAGAAGTCCAGAGCGTGTCGTCAGGTTGGAGGGACAGGATCTCTGGACAAGAGTAGCTGCGAAACAGGCGTGTTGAGGTGCCGTTCCCTGAGGAGCGGGAACTCGCTGTAGCCAGGTCTGCATCGTCCATAGTGATGCAGTTTGTCCCCTGCTCACCTTCAAGAGTCCTACTTTGCAAAACTCTGCCTTTTCTCTTGTGGTTTTCTGCTCTACTTGGCTTAATGTTAACCCTTTTTGTACTAGACCTTAGCCCAGACACAGTCACTCTGCTTTGGTTACTGGCCTCTACCTCTTCTGACACAGGAGCAGCACTCCTGTCTTTCCCTTCAACAACATGGTTAACTTCAATATCCAATTGTACATTACAGTCTTCATTAGGTTGAGAGGATGAAGAAACAGGTTGTTGAATACTTTCAAAAGGAGTCATTTCAAAATATACAGGGTCGATTGAGATTTTACATTTGCCTTGTTTAGGCTGGTTTTCTTTGGCTAGCAAATGAAGGTTATTGACACACTGCTTTGTCTCTTGATTCCCAGCTGACATGGATGATTTATCAGCAACCTTTAAAGCCTTTTTGGATCGTTTGGGCAGCTGCTTCAGTTCCTTTTCCAAGCCTGAACCTGATTGGGTTGGCGATTTCCGTTTTAGTGGTTTGTCGTTGATATTCCTGCGCTTGCTTGTGCTTTGGAGGGGCTTTATAGAAGGACTGACAAAGACCACTGATAATGGTTCCTGCTCAATTTCTTTTGCAGAGGTGGTTTCTAGTTCCTTACTGTTCGACCTGGTCTTTAGTTTTTTGCAGGAGCCACCCGTTGGCTTCACCGTGCAACTGCTGCCCTTTTGGTTTTTTTCTGACACACCAGTGATTTCATCCAGAGAGCAAACCAACATTGCATCAGAGGGACTTTCAGTCTGTGTGTTTAACTCGGGCTGTAATTCTTGTCCTACTTTTCCTTTCTTATTTTCTCTTTTTGAAGCAGCTTGTCTTTTCCTAGCAGGCTTCAGTGGTTCTCCCTTATCTTCAATGGGATTTGCCATCACAACTTCATTTATATATGGTTTCAAAAGGCCACCTTCTGAGGCGACATTTAAAAGCTCTTGTCTTTTTGTTTCCATTTTAGATTTATCTACAATCAATCTCTTCTTCTTCACAGCTTCTTGAGAATCGCAGTCCAGTTCCACACCCCTCTTTGCTCGGACAAGAGTTGAAACTGAGTAAGTTTCAGGGCTTAGTCCACACTCCAGCTGTTGAATATTCACATAAGGCCTTAGTGTCCATCCATTTGCGTCATTTAAGTTATTATGATGTGTTTGGCGAACCATAACTTCTAATCTTCTGCCTTCATCCACATGACCAAGCTGAGGACAGTCGGTGTCAGGCTGAGTAGAACAGACGGAATCAGTTTTGTTTGATTTAACAGAATTCATGAAAGAAACCTGCTCATAACTAACCTCAGACTCTTCCTTCTTGACTTTGGATTTTGAAGACTTAGAAGCAACTTTCTTTACTCTTTCTTTACAAATTCTATTAACTGTACATTTCCTAGGCAGTAGTTTCAGCTGGACAGTCGCATTCCCTCTCTGGTCCTCCATAACACCAGAAAACTTGACATTGGAATCATGTGAGGCACTTCCGTTGACAACTTCCTCAGAAACAATGCAGGGTAAGGGACAGTGTTGCAAAGGCTCAGGAGAGCTTATTTCCTTTTGGGTTATTGCACTTTCATCTGACTGTTCAGAGCCGTGTGTTGGCAACTCCACATCCAACAGTAATTTATTTGAATATTTAAGAGCAGCAGTTTCTGTGTTTTGTGAACCTTCTACTTTACTGAGCCTCTGCTGATCATCTTCAGCATCCGGATTCCTATTCTGGCTTTGTGCTTCTGGATGAAGTGTACCGCTCTGCTCCGAGTGTTCAACATCAGATGATGGATTGGCCTGTAGCTCACCCTCATCGAGTTTGTCTGGATGGTCTGTGCATGGTGGAGGAATATTAGCTTTGAAGAGTTTAACAGGACTCATCACTATCTCTGTGAAACTGACCATCTTTGACTTGAGCGACTGAAATAAGGGGACAATCACCCATCCCTTCGGAGCAACAGCCAATCCCTCCATGCATGCGTCCATGTCAGATTTAGTGGTGTCAGGATTATGTGTGGTTTCCTCAACAAACTGCTCCACTTCAATGTCCGCAGCAGAGACGTTTGGTTCCTTGCGTGGGCTTTGCCAGGTCTTTTGCCTACTACAAAAACGGAGAGGAAAATTAGGCTCTCAAAACACATTCCACTGATAAGAAACATTACTGTTATGTCAAATAACAACACCTACATATAGTTGTTTCATGAAAACTTTGATATATGTTTAGTGTCAATACAAGGTCTGAGTTCTTTATTTATTGAAACATTCAAAAATCTATGCCTGTTTTTATCTAGCCTGATGTTGTAGGTCATATGGAAAACTACTCAAAGTATGCCTGCATTATATATTCTGACCAAAGAGATTCATGTTATTTAAATACTGTTTCTTATTGTTCACAAGTGTTGAAAATATATATTTTTAACCAATACAATTTAAATGAGCACATGCATAAAAGGAACATGTTGGAAAGCAGTTTTTCTAGATAAGTCAAAACTTCAAAGTAAACATCTCAGACTTACTGATTTTGGGGCTCGGCTGTTAAACTGACATCAAATCCATCCTTGAAAAAAAGAAAAGAAAAAAGCATAAAGTTTAGAGTCCTTTCTCATAAAATCAACTAAACACAAATGCTGTCGTTTAGAAAATGTATTATCGGCTACTCTTTCATTATAAAACAAAAAGTATATATTTATATACATTTGAATTTCAGTGTTCTAATTTAAGATTAGCAAAAAAGCTTAATTTGATCAAATTTTGTTAAAAGAATAGAGGACATTAAGTTATTTTTTATATATATTGGTTTTTAGTGTTTATTCATTCACTTCTACCTTTTTGCAAAACAAGAAGACAAATACAACGCATTGTTAGTCCCCCTTACGCATTAGTGGGTGACATTAAGACAGTGGATTTCTTGTCAGATGCAGTAGACCATGAAGGAGGATTACAATCCCTCAATTAACCCTCACACCCTGCTCACTCTACAGGTCTCCAATGTTGACATACACAGCTGTACAGCAAGCTGCTGCACAGATTAGACACAGAAAGCTGCATTACATAAAAAACACCACCAAGTAGGGCATGAAGACCAACAGAGACAGAGAGGGTCGAGTGTGGAAACCTCTAGAGCAGTGGTTCTCAAAGTGGGGGGCGCGCCCCCCCCCCTGGGGGGGCGCAGAGGCATGCCAGGGGTGGCGCGAGAGACCAGGAGGAAAAATGGTTTTAAAAATGTAAAAGATAAAAAAAAGAAAATCATAATGTTAAAAATTATTGATTCGAAAATAATATGATACAGTACAGTACTATTACGTCTGGGTCTCTGTGTTTCATTAAAGCTCAGCTCTGTGTGTGCGTGTGTGTGGAACGAGCCATTTTGTGTGCGCGAGCGAGAGAGAGAGCGCACCGGTACCGGAGATCGTTGTTGTTAGCTTCTGGTGCTAGCGAGCTACGCTAACGGATATAAGGAGTTTTTTCAACAACAAAGTGGAGGAGAGTCCTCTCCTGTCAGACTGAGAGACTCAGTGAGCTAAAGGACTCAGTGCTATCTCAGTGGGTCTCAAACGTTTTGGTCACCATTAATGTAAACAATTATATGATCATTATAAAAAAATAAGAGAATAAATGAAAAACAGCTATGAAATACTATATGACAGTAAAACAAGAATAAAGTTTAAAAGGGTGATTTGTAAAATATTCATAAATAAAAAGTAAATCTGTTTACAGTTCTGTGTTGAGAGATGTATCCATAGATCTCTTCACTTTGCTCTCAAAGTGCACCAGATTGATGCTTTTAACTTCAATATTTAAAAATAAATCTTCCCGGGGGAGCTTGCCCCCGAACCCCCCTATGTGAGGTCCACACACCACCTATAAAAATAGCACTTGACCCCTGCTTACACCTATGTGCCGTGAGCTGATTATCGAGCCTTCATTGTAACAGTTGCGGGAACACTGTATGTGCGTGGGGAGTGTTGCAGTAGAAAATTCCACTGTAGCGACCGGTACATTAATGGGAAACCCTAAATGTTTGAGCACCCTCTATGAAACGTCACGCTACCCCACAGCACCCCCAAAAGAAATCTCTGGCGCTGCCACTGAGCCTGATTATTTGTGTTGGGGGGGACAGAAAAAGTTTGAGAACCACTGCTCTAGAGCAAGGAGAGATGCCACTGACCTCCTTTTGTTTCTCCAGTACATGTGTGCCTTCAACACTTGACTGCTCGGACTGCGACACCTACAAACCAGAGATATGCATAAACAGGTACTCATTTGATTGTCGTAACATTAATTATCAGAACCAAGATTATTTATTTTTAAACTCCTACCATGTTTGCACTCTCCCTTTGTCTCCGTGTGGGCGACGGATCCAGTCTGGATGATTCCTGAGCTGTTCCGCTGTCTGTGTGGCTCTGCTTTTCAGGGGTTTGTGCTTTGATCTCTTGAATTCGGCCACTCCGCTCGTGTCCAGATATTCCATTATCCACACAGCTGTGAATGTTTAAAAACATTTTCAGAAAATCAAGTCAATATGAAGTATTTTTTGTTTTAAGTACAGTGAGAAAAACAGTACTTTAGGTCTTAAAGATGAGCGGTTCAGTTGTTATGATAGGGATGTCCCAATCCGAGTCCTTTAGTATTAGGAAGGAATCTACTGATATTCAGTTAATCAACCTTGATCTTTCATAATTAGTTATGATTTAGTCTAACACCTTATTCTTCACACACACTACCATTTTTGAAGGTACTTAATAATAAATATTAAGTTGTTGAGTTAAATTACTGACTTGATAGGGTGAAGGTATTAGAAACATTTCAGGAATCAACATGAAGCGATAAGCTAGAGAGAGGATGTCTGACTGTTGGAGTCCCTCCGGACTACAAAAAAAACACTTTGCTTGCGTTGTTACAGAGTGATGCTTCAATTACCTCGTGATTTTGGCTGAGCACAGACACAGACACGTTTTATTTTAGTCTGCCATCAAGTTACAAACAGCGTTGACTAAAGCAGTGACGGCCAATATGACCTGCCGTCGCTTCATCTATTTAACCGTCAAAAGAGTCACATCAAAAAGAGTAGCTGCTAGCTGAACGTTCTGCACACCGCTCTTTGTTAAGAAGAAAGAGACACACCATTAGTGAAAATGAGGAAATATCAAATCCATTAAATTGCCAACAGAGGTGTCAGAACTCTGTCACCAAATAATGAAAAACATCAACGTTTGAATGATGCATGGCAGTGCAACAGATGGAAAATACACGTTCCTAGTATAAGAACTGATGGAAATGAAAATGTAACAAATAATAGCAAAAGTTTCCAGAGGATGTACTCGTTTAATCCGTAAGTCCAAAACTGTGAAAAAAAGTGTCACAAAGAAAGGAGGGGGAAATAGACACACAGCAAAAGAAAAAGGTGCTAGGACAACTATACCTGGGAGTGATGGAGGAAAGGGGGAGGAGAGGTGGAGGAGGTTCACTGTGGGGGGGTGCACTACAGAAACTGTTAGAGGGAATAGCATGTTCATCCATTGGACAAACTATCTGAGGGAGCAAGTCACAGGGATAAGTCAACATCCCCTTGCTCGCTCTTTCTCTCCGTGTCTGTCCTTTTCTGAAAATAACAAGAAAAAAACATGCAGGGTATCACATCAGCATTAAAGCACTTCAAAATAGGTCTTAAACATTAACATTCACTTACTTTTCTGACCCATGGGATGGTTGTTTCTTCTGGAATGAGCAACAACGTATTTTAGTCATTTCCTTTTTGAGATTTACATAATTGATTTCAAACCTGGTTATTTTTTTAAAAATTATCACAAGATAAAATGTAAAAAACTGACACAATTTGAAAATGGCCTTTCTCATTTTTCTCGCTCAAGATGATTTTTTTCAAATGTCTCGTTTAGTCCAAAAATAAATAAATACTGTCTCAGAAAAATACAGTATGATGTGAAATGGTTAGAAGAAAAAGACTAAACAAACGCATGTTTTGGATTTGAGCGTATGTGAGTCATTGTCGTTAGCACATAAATTAGTTAAATTGCCCTTTCTTTGGCAAAAGGTTGGCTACATCTAACGTTGGACTAACAACCTTAAAAGCTAAGCGGCTAGCTATTTAAATATGTATTTATTTCATTGCATTTTTTCAATCAAATAGAAGGTGCGATTGGTTCGATTAACACTGGGCTAGGTCTAAATGCTGGAATACTGTTTCACATTCAAACTTTTATGTTGAGGCTAAGCAAACAAATGGAAAGGTTAGCGAAATGTGTTGTATTATATACAACGGATATGTTTTTAAAAAGTGTATTAGGGCCGACCACCTTGGCGTTAAGCGCTACAACTAAGCATAGCTTCATTGTAATTCTCGGTTAACACTGCATGGTTTGGGCTAACACCGATATTCACACAGTGTGTAATATACAGTTAACACAGTCTGTTCCGGGGAATAGCCGTAGCCACCGGTAGCTGTCATCTCTGCTAACGCTCAAACGTTTTCTATGTGGTAACCAGGCACATATTGGTTTAACAGTTCAGTTGCTTGCAGGTTTTATTGCTGAATCACAGTGAACAAACTTACCAGAAACGACCAGCTGGCTGGACTGAGGGTAGTATTCCGACCTCACCGTAAACAAGACATGCCGGACGGCGCCCAACAAGCGACACCCTCTCGCAAACGTATCCGTTTTTGCAAATTCAGACAGATAGATCATCCAATCACAAGACGAGTTACGTTTCCTTGTTGAATTCTGACCAATGACAGAAGACTTTGAAACGTCGTAGGTGGATGGCATGGTGAAAGAGCGCTGATAAAAGGCTCAATTACAAAAGTGAGTCTTCTATTATGTCCTCGGGTGACCTAGAATATTTTTAGACAAATAATTGATTAACTGGAAATGATATATGAGATATCATATTTACATTAAATCAGTGTTTTAGTGAGGTAGAGCAAGAACATCTCTACTTTATTTATTTCCCATTGATGCATGTGATAACTCGGAATCCACCGCTTCATCTCTGGTCGTGCAGGTTTCCACGTTTAATGGTTGCATCTGCATCATGGATTGTGGCTGCGCATGTTGCCATGTTCCTGTTTGATGCCTTCTTCTACTACTATTGTTAGTCACATTATTAAGAGTTATTATTTAAAATATGTTTAATTGTGTTAATCATAACGTGGTTAAAAATGAAGGCAAGCCTTGAACCTGGAAGCGGCCTAGCATCCCATTGATCCATCTCTTTTAAATATGTTCACATTATCTTTTTTGCCATATTTTTTATGACTAATCGTAATTCAATATTGATGTTTAAAATGATGCCAGTTACATTTACAAATTAGTACAGTAGTACATTTTACATTAACAGTAGTAGGTAAACAAGTGTAAAACAAAGAATTAGCCATAAATGTCAATGTGCAAATGAAAGTCATGTGGAACAGCCATTTATATTTTACTCAGTGACCAGAATTAAGTCAATTCTTACTGACCTTAACAAGTCCTTAGTTAAAAACAGAATAAAATGGTTTAGAGCAACACCACGTTCATGAGTCATTTATTTAAAAACAATGTACAGAAAACAAAGCCTCTGTTAAAATCACATATTTAACGCAAAATCCTTGGTTGAATAGACAGAAGATAGGCTTAGGCCAAAAGATGACTGTCAAGAGTGATTGTGATTATAATGAATTAGCCGTTACACACAAATCATGTATACAGCTCAAAATCTATTCTCTTAGAGTTGTAGTACTGCGCTCCCTCCTGGTCGATCCTCTTGCAGTAAACGCCTGTGCTGAAATAGCCTTCATCCACCCAACCCTGGAAAACAGACAATAAGAAGATTAGAACCAACCAGGGGAGATCATTGAGGCTAAAGGTAGAACCAACCTGGAGCACAATCATCTCAAAACATAATGGAATTTACAATTAAGTTTGCACGTACATTAGTTCTGAGGAGGAGAGGAAGAAATAGTAATAAAGGTAAATGCCTGAATTAGGTTGCATCAGTACAGGTGCAAGTTATATAGTTTGTTCGTGTGGAACTGATTCAAGCACTCCTCCTAATGCACATTATCATTTGTGTCTTTTTTCTTTCTATTATTCTCTCTTTTTTTGGAATTCTCAATGAAATCTTAGTATTACATCATAGGAAATACTTTTCAGTTCGATAGGGTAATGTGATCTGTTCCCTTTTGGGAAAAGTGTATGTTCAATCTTTGCAAAGTGTGAAATGGACATATGAGAAATGTTCTTTATTTTTTCAATGAAATAGCTCCACCACAGTTGTCAGTAATTTGCGACTTCAGTCCCAAACAAGAGGATTGTGTTGAATCTCTGCCTTAATATGAAGTTGTTGTTTTTTTGCTGTACCGGACTCACACCAAAGCGTGAATCCTTAACCAGAGTATGACCCAAACCGAAACACTTGAGAACTGCTTTGTCATTAAAAGAAAATGGGTTTAAGAGGATACCTGCATCTGCTGACTGTTGAAGGGTCCAAAAACCTCTGAATCATCCGTATTTTCCCATTTGTACTCCCACATCACCCCGTCACTCACTGAAAAAGACAAAACAGAATTTAACAAAGCAAGAAATATAGTTCTATTTAAAAAAGGGAAATGAATACCAGTAAAACTGAAAAACCTGTGTTGTCTTCTTCCTCGTCTGATTTTCCTGTATTCTTCTCGTCAAATTTGTCTGCGAACATGTCCAGTTCATCTTCCTCTCCATCACCACCTGGGCTCTTCTTCACGGCTGGGCGCTTGCTGTTCATGCTTTTCATCAAATAGGCCAGTTTTTCATATGTTTGCTGATAGATCTCAAACATCCCAGATCCAACCAATCTGTCAGCTAATGCTGTGAGTCTGTCAAGCTTATCTGTGTCTCTTTTTGCCTCCTCTGTGGGTTTACTGTCTTCCCTCAGCTTCCCCTTCTTCCGTCCTCCAAGGCCTCCTAGCCGCCGGAGCGCCTTGGCAACCGTCTCCCCAGGATGCAACAGTTCGACCACAGCCTCAGTGAGCTGGTGCTGTGTGAAGGACGCCAGCGGGTCCTCTGCAGGCTCCATTTCCTCCTCCTCCATCTCCTCTGCTTCCTCAGTGTTTGCTTGGCCTGCCTGCTTCTCTTCCCTCTGTTTCTCTTCCTCAGCCTCATCCTCATCACCGACTCTGCGTTTCCGTTTGGCTCCAAGACCTTTCTTCTTTTGTTTGAAAGGTTGTTCTTTTACTCTCACCTGGAAGAAGCGACTTATATTATTGCACAGTGCTTGAAAGGTTTTCAGAGATGAAGAAAATATCCATAAAATAAACATACCCAGTCAATGTTATCAAGCCAGTTATCTCTTATCTCTTCCTCCTTTTTGACAAAGTAGTTTCCTTCAGAGTCAAAGTATCCTTCCTGCATCTCCTCATCCAGGTTGAAAGGTGTAATAGAAACTCCCTCGTCATAGTCGATTGTTGCTCCCTCTTGGCCTGAAGACATAGTGAGTGTGGTTTAAGGTGACATCTTTACTGACGCTTCATGTTTAGACAAAATATTAACTTACACATATCACCGGTATATAGAAAGGCTGAACCAACTCATTTGAAGCATAATCCATAAAATGTCTTTTAAAATTCTAAATTAACATTTGAATGCTGCACTTTGTTTTTTGCAGGAATACAATATTGTTTAAATTCTGCCCAGTTGTATATAGAGATTTAGCTGAACTTAATTATATTATTATTATTATTATTATACTATTTGTAAAATTAGATATTTTGTGGTGGCTGCATAGAATTGTTTTTGGAATAATTTGATCTAAACATTTCACCAGAATAAATAACACAATTTCAAAATGACATTCAACACAGCCCTAGTATGTAGCAGACGTAGTCAAACTTTCTTTTAGAAGAACATGGAAATATAAAAGCAAAAGTGTATGTGCCTTTTTGTTTATTCAATACGTGTATACTTGAAGCCTATGTCATATCATAGTTCAACAATTAAACAAGACATACCCTCCACGTCATCACTGGCCAGAATATCATATTTGTTGGTGATTTTTGCGTCTTCCCCTTCATCCTCTTCATCGCTATCAAGGGAGTGTTTGCCCTTAAACCTAGCGCCTGGTCCAGTAACAGCCTCACAAGTCTGGTTCAAGCACAAGGGAAAAAGTACAATATTTACATTAAAACATAATTGAACATTTCAGTAAAAAAATTCCTGCTAGTTTAAGCAACTTATTTCAATGTCCTGATAACGATGTTGTTGATCTATTATTATTGATGAGTATTCCCAATGGATTGTTATGATTTATTCTTCTCCAATATGTATTTGAGGCGAACATTCAAATGTATACTCCACTACATTGATGAAAACCATGTGTCTCAAAATGTGTTGGTTCTTCTGTAAAACTAAAAGATGAATATTCCCTTATGGTTTGAAAACATTCTACTTCTGAAGGTAAATAAACTATTAAAACCCCTTCTTGGATGACAACGAGGCTTTTTAAGGGAATACAAAGTTGACTTTTGAAATACGCTACTTGAGTGGGATGTAATCAGATGTTTTGTTTGTAAACAATGATGTGAACGGGACGGTTGTACCTTTTTGCTTGGGACGTCTTCTTCCAGCTCTATCTCCCCTTCCCCATCCTCAAATGTTACTTTCCTCTTCGGCATGGTTCTACAGAAGACAAGACAGTGGCTCTTATTATTCAGAAGTGGCTGTAACAGTGGTGGCTGTGCTACTTAGATCCTGTTTACGTTGTGAATACGAGCGGTAACCTCAGAGCTCATGTTAGCATCGTTGCTAAAACATTAGCCAACAAAGTAGACACGCAGCGTGTAAACAACAAGAAAAAGCATAGGTCACAGTCCACCCTCACTTTAGAGGCAGGTTTACATGAAGTAAACTAGTACAATTCAACCTGCATATTAAATTGATATGAAAAATAAACTGATATTTAGCTGAAAAAAACAAACCCTGCTGAAATGAATTCAAACGACGTTCGTTTTATTTTCTTCTTCTACGGTGTTCTTCTTCCTCTCTTTCTCAATGTTAATGCTGGTTGGTAGATGACAGACCGGGGCATTACCGCCACCACCTGTTGGGGAGGTTGGTTCACATTCTGAATGACGGTGATATGAATTTGCTGGTCTATACTAAGTGTATTATCTCTTAGAATGGGACATATGATATGATGTACATACTTCATTGACATACATACTTCATTGACAAGGATAAGGAAGAGGAAAATATGGATGTTGTATCCAACAGTTTCAATGATTTCTTTGTAAATGTTGGACCTGAATTAGCAGGCAAAATCTCTGATGGAGAAACATCAGAAAAAAAGCTGGAAAACTTAATAAAACGTAATCCTTTGTCAATGTTCCTCACAGCAGTGCATGAAAGGGAAGTAGTTGATATTGTAACGAAATGTAAAAACAAAAAATCTACCGATTGTGATGACATTGACATGACTGTATTAAAAAAGGTTATAGATGTTAATTCAAAACCATTCACACACATATGTAACTTATCATTCCAAACTGGTGCATTTCCTAACAAAATGAAAATAGCAAAAGTCATACCTTTGTTCAAAGCTGGGAACAAACATCACTTCACAAACTACAGACCTGTCTCTCTTCTACCACAATTCTCAAAAATTCTTGAAAAGCTTTTCAATAACAGACTGGACAATTTC